GTCCTAGATGGGAACCCTCTTTCTCCTCTTCCTCCTGCTCCTCCTCGTCCTTGAGCTCAAGGCCTGGGCACTATCCCTGATCATTTTAGCTCAAGGCAAGTGCTCTGTCACTCGAGGCACAGTTCCACTTCTGGCTTTTTTGGTGGTTAATGGGAGATGAGAATCATGGGCTTTCCTGCCTGGACTGACTTCAAACGTGATCCCCAGATGTCAGCCTCCTGAACCGCTGGGATCGGGCGTATGCCACTGGTGCCTGGCGAGTCTGCTGCTTTTATTCCCCCCAGATCTGGTGCTTCACTCCAAGCTGCTTCGCCCTTTCTCTGCCTCAGGCTGTCTGCCGTTGGGAGCACGCCCCGACCAGAGCAGCCTGTCTGGCTGTCAGAGCTTTGCACACATCCCCTTCTTTTAAGGTGACCCCCATAGGCAGAAGCAGTGCCGCCCTGCGGGTGCTTGGCGCGGTTGTGCCTTGTCTGTCTTCCGTCAGGCCACCCACACTGCTGGCCACCGGCTGGCCAGACACTGGGGGAAACGTGGGCCCCCAGCCTCTGCAGGGGACACCGGGAGGCTCAGCCACAGAGGTGTGACGCCGGAGGCTTTTCCCCACAGGCCCACGGGAGAAAGGTGGAGGCCCCACTCAATTCCGGCTCCCCGCCCTTCCTCTACGAGATGTCGGCTGGGTTTGTGTTTGTTTTGAGACACGTCAGGGACAATGAGCCAGGAGCTGGGTGGCGTTGCGGGGTTTTGACCTCAACCCACCAACCCACCAAGGGACAGACCCGCCTGCCTTCTCTTTTTTTAACTGTATTTTTTTTGTCTTTTCTTTTTTGGTACTGGGGATCGAACCCAGGACGTTGCACTTGCTAGGCAAGCGCTTGGCCACTGAGCTACATCCCAGCCCTGACTTCTCTTTTTAAAAACAATTTTTACTGTTATAAAGTTGATGTACAGGGGTGACAGTTACATAAGTCCAGTAGAGTACGTTTCTGCTGGGCACCTGTGGCTCACGCCTGTTGTCCTAGCTACTCAGGAGGCGGAGATCTGAGGATCACAGTTCAAAGCCAGCCTGGGCAGGAAAGTCTGTGAGACTCTTATCTCCACGAAACCACCAAAAAACTGGAAATGGTGCTGTGGCTCAACTGGTAGAACGCCCACCTTGAGCTGAAGAGCTCAGAGACAGCCCCAGGCCTCAAGCCTCATGACGGACAAAAAAAAGAAAGGTCTCCTGTTGGGAAGGAAAGGGGAGGGCTCGGCCTAACCTGACCAGGGCAGCTGCACAACCTGTCAGCCGCCACAGGAGCCTGGCACCGGGTAGGGCGAGTTAGCACCCTGGTGGGTGGGAGGAGAAACAGCAGCGGCCTGGGGTTCAGGCTCAGAGAGACCAGGACTCCAGCTCCGGTGCTCAGGAAACAGGCAGGAAAGATGCTCCTCTGAGCCCCTCTCCCAGCTGCCAGAAACTCTGCCCCCTCTAACCTCTTCCTGTGTGTGAGCTTCTCAGGGCAGAGATGAGGTGCAGGCTGCAGGGAGGGGCTGTGGGGCGCTCAGCCACGCTGCCCTGGGTTCCCTGCCTGGCCCAGGCCCCTGCGCCCACGCGGCCTGTGGCCCCCTGCGTCCTCCTGTCTTTTGAAGCTGGCCTCAAAGGCAGCTTTGATTCTTTCTGTGCACATCTCTGCTGCTTCTGAGATAAACAGATTCCCGTCTGCTTACCAGCTCCAGACCAGGGTGATCATGGGCGCAGATTCCCTGCCAGGCCAGCCACACCCAGAAGCCCGCTCCGCCCAGGCCCGGGGAGCTTCTGCTTCTTCTGTGGCAGCCAGGCCCTTGCTGGGACACGTCCGGGGCCCCAGGGACTGGACAATGTTAATGGAGTGCCCATCTCCACACCCCAAGTTTCCCAGGGCCGGGCATCACTGTGGCATTGTGCAGCTTCATCCCTCCCTGTCCCTGTCCCTGTCCCTGCACCCACTCTGCCCTGGCCTATGCTCAGAAGGCAGGGTGAGCTTGGTGCTCGGGCAGCGCTGGCCACGCACCGGCCGGAGGCGGGGATAGGGGACAGGCCTCAGGGCGCTGCCTGCGGGTGGAGGCTGGCAGTAGGAAGATGGCTGACTGCAGCCTCGTCCTGGCATGGTCGGTGAGGTCTTACGCCTGTGCATTACTCTATTAGCGCAAGTGAGCGCCATGCTCTGGCGTAAAGAAGGCTTTTGCTCTGCTCGGTCACCTTTGAGCTTAGGTCCCCGCTCCGGCTCCACCCATGGTCCCAGGGACATGTGGTGGGCAGCGCCACCTGGTGGATCTCTCTGGGATGGCGGCTTCTCGGAGATGCTTTGTCTTCTAGGCGATGCTTGCACCTGCGGCTCATGCCTGTTCGTTCTTCACAGTCTTTTCCCCTCCTGGAAGCCCAGGGCAGGGATGGAGTGGGGCTACCTAGGGCTGGAGGCCGGCTTGGAGGTGAGGTCCCATGGGCTACACGGAGTTCAGCCCAGGCTCCATCTGCTCACACCCTCTGCCCATCCTCCTTGGTGATGTCCTAGGATTGTCCCGAGGAAGAGGCCTGTGTCCTGAGGCCTGGGGACCTTGTGGAAAGCAAGACGTCGGGGTGTTAGAGACAGAGTACCCCAGCTTGGCTTGCTAAGGCCCAGAGGGGCTGTGACACTGGCTGAGAGGTTACCAGGCGCTGCCTCCTCCCTGGCACCGTGTGTGTGTGTGTGTGTGTGTGTGTGTGTGTATGTCCAGGGGGCACCACCATCTGTGGCATCGGGGGGGGGGCTGGGATGGCTCAAGAAGTAGCCGCGCCCTGCCCGCCCCTCCCCGCCCCCTGCCCCCCACCCTCCCCAGCTCCCACCCACTGGCTCCCTGCTCCCCCTGCACTGTGTTCAGGGGTCCAGCCCAGGCCCCTGAGCTTAGGGGTGTCTCCCTCACCCCCACCCAATCACATCTTTCCCAGGTGTATCAGTGCACCTGTCATACAGCCAAGGAGAGGATACTGGGGCTGTTACCACCCCGCCTCCAGGAGCCCCCCTTCCCCAGCACTCCTTCCCCATCCCTCTCAGCACCCTTCCCCCTGGGTGGGTGGCCCGCTCCTGGAACAGGCCAGGCTTCCCGGCCTGGGCTTGGCGCCCCTGTGAGGTCCACGCTGCTCCTCACCCTGGCCCGGACCAGCCAGGCCCGCCTGGCCTTCCCTTGGTGGTTGGCTTCTTTTCCTTTGAACCTGGCAGCATGGGTCTGATCTGCCCCCGCTCCTCGCTGCAGGCCAAGTCCTCACAAACAGCAGCAGGTTGTAGACACAGATTGCCAGGTGGCCAGAGGTGGGCACAGTAGTCATCTTACCAATCATGTTTATGATTTTGTTCCTTTTTAAATTTTTATAATAGTACCGGGGCTTGAACTCAGAGCCTCATGTTTGCTTGGCTTGATTGCTTGGCTGGGGGTCTACCACTTGAACCATACCCCTATCTTTGCCTTTTGATGGTTCTTTTGGGGTCTCCTGGACTTCTCTGCTCATGTTGTCTTCACACTGTGATTCTCCAGCCTCACGAGTGAGGGAGGCTCCTTCCTCCCTTTCTCCCTTTCTCCCTTCTGTCTTTCCTCTCTCCCTTTCCCTCCCTGTCCATTCTCCCTGTTTCCCTGTCTGACAAGGTCTTGCTTATCTATCCCTGCAACCCAGGCTGGTGTCAAATGTTTAATCTCCTGCCCAGCCCCCGTCCCGGGACCACAGGCACCCTATGCCCACCTTCGGTGTTGAAGGTGACGTGTGGCGTCTGTGACCACATGGAGCCTACTGCCTGTTTGTGTTTGTGTGCAGCCTGCCGGGAGGAGCTTTCCACGAGCAAGTGCTGGGTGGCGTGCAATGCGTGTGTCAGTGAGTGGAAGTTCATCAGAAATCAGCTGTGTTGGCTGACATAGTGCTCCGACTCCAGTGTCAGGGCTGAGGAGGAGTGGGGAGGAAGGAGCGGAGTAGGGAGGAGTAGGGAGGAGTGGGAAGAAGGAGGGAGGAGTAGGGAGGAGGGAGGAGTGGGAAGAGGGAGGAGGGGGAGGAGTAGAGAGGTGTAGGGAGGAGTAGAGAGGTGTAGGGAGGAGGGAGGAGGAGTAGGGAATAGTAGGAAGGAGAGAGGAGTAGGGAGGAGTAGGGAGGAGTAGGGAGGAGGGAGGGGTGGGGAGGAGTAGGAGTGAGAAGCGGCTGACTGTGGTGGAAAGTCAGACTTGCTGCCACCGGCTGCAGAGAACAGCAGATCCCCAAGTGGCCAGCAGGTCCGTGGCGTGTTTAACATGGTTAACCACAGCGGGGGCTCAGGCTGCCCCGTGGTGGCTGGGACGCCGGTGGGGGAGCCGGAGGGTGGATTGTCAGCAGAGCCGTGGGTGGAGGGGACGAGTGGAGGCAGGATGGTGGGGGCGGTGGGGGTGGGCCGGTTACGGGTGGGGAGGTGAGTGGGCCTTCCGTGGCCCCCCTCGCAGGGTTTGGCCCCACGCAGCCTGGGAAGGCCTGAGCTGGGCGGGCGGCCTCACGTGGGATCCTCTGCCTTGCCTGGGGTGTGCACGCCTTGGCGTGGCTGTGAGCAGGCGCAGGGCCGGAGGCCATTCTGTGGGGGGCCGGGACCTCGAGGCCCAGCTGTGCTGGGGGGTCCTGTGATTTCACCTCGTGGGGGATGGGACCCCGAAGCCCAGCCGTGCTGGGGGGTTCTGTGATTTCACCTCGTGGGGGATTGTGCTGGGGGGCTTCCTGTAATTTCACCTCGTGTGGGGATGGGACCCCGAAGCCCAGCTGTGCTGGGGGGTTCTGTGATTTCACCTCGTGTGGGGATGGGACCCCGAAGCCCAGCTGTGCTGGGGGGTTCTGTGATTTCACCTCGTGGGGGCCGGGACCTCGAGGCCTGGCCGTCCCGCTGGCATCTGCCTGCTGCCCCACCCCCAGTGGAGGCCCAGGCTGGTCTCAGACCTTAGTTGGGGGCCTGGACATTTACAGCTCGGCCTGTGGGTGACCAGCCCGTGTTCTTGTTCTAGGAAGCATGGCCGACACGCCGAAGGAGGGAAAGATGAACAGGCTTCTGGACTTCACACAGCTGGTTGACATGGCATCCGAGTCTGTGGGGGGCAGGGTGAGTGGGACGCGTGGGGGAGTGAGTGGAAATCTTCTCTCCTCTTCCCTTCTTCCTCCCTCCCTCCCTCTCTCCCTCCCTCCTTCCTTCCCTCCCTCCCTCCCTCCTATCCTTCCTTCCTTCCTTTTTTTTTGGTGGATACCAGGGTTTGAACTCAGAGCCTTCCGCTCGCTGGGGTGGCGTTCTGTCTAGCAGGAGCGCCTCTGCCTCCGCAGATGTACTTGTTGCTGGTTGTGGTGGAGACAGTCTAGCTAACTGTTCAGGCTGGCTTCGAGCGGTGCCCCCTGGATCTGTGTCCTCAGTAGTGGGAATTACAGGTAGGGGCCACACATGCTTGGCTTCCTTCTCTTGAGTGCTGGGATTACAGGTGTGTGGCACCATCCAAAGTGATCCTTATACTTTAGTAGAGTAGGAGAACCCCTGGAGAGCTTGGCAAACTCCAGGGGTGAAGGGTCAGGTGTGGACGCTGGGCAGAGGGGTGCACAGTGGTCAGCACACAGAAGAGCAGGCCCAGGGTCCCACACACTTCCAGACAGACAGATGAGCAGACCAGACCAGCACTGTGACCAGAATGACAGGGCCTAAGGGAGCCATGGGTGTTATTCCCGTGTGACCTGTCCGTAGCAGCTCTCCCGTGTCTCCCGGGGCACGCAGCAGTGGGGCCGCCAGCACCCTCCCTTTGGGCCTGCAAGCTGGTGATGGAGCCCCGATCTGTCCCTGAGGACACAGTTCTGAGTGAAACAGGGCAGGAAGCAGCCCGGCTCTCCCAGAAAATCCACCTCACCCGTTTTGTTGAGGTGCCACCACCTTCCTGCCTCCCGGGACTCAGGGACACAGGGACACAGGGACTCAGGGACACAGGGACACAGGGACACAGGGACACAGGGACACAGGGACTCAGGGACACAGGGACACAGGGACTCAGGGACACAGGGACACAGGGACTCAGGGACACAGGGACACAGGGACACAGGGACACAGGGACACAGGGACACAGGGACACAGGGACACAGGGACACAGGGACACAGGGACACAGGGACACAGGGACACAGGGACACAGGGACACAGGGACACAGGGACACAGGGACACAGGGACACAGGGGCTCAGGGACACAGGGACACAGGGACACAGGGACTCAGGGACACAGGGACATAGGGACACAGGGACACAGGGACTCAGGGACACAGGGGTGTGGCAGAGCCACTGCTCCATTTAGGAAACCACCACAAAGCCCAAGGTTTCTTTCCTTCTCGAAGACAGGGAAGTTGGCTCACTTCTGAGTGAGAAGTTGGTACCGCGGTGGCCAGGCGCTGATGGAGACTGGGAGGAGAGGACGGGAAGGGATGAGCGAGGCGGAGAGGCTGGCGGTGCGGATGGAACATGGCAAGGCTGTTCACAGTACCTCCTGATGTGCTACCATGGCAAGGAATGAGATGGCTTGGGATGGCTATTTTATTTTACTCCCCTTTTGTTTAGATTTTGTTCGCGACGGATGACTTTTTTGCCCCTGCGGAGAACCTCTTGAAGGTGCTGTAACCGGGCTCTGTGGTGGGGGGAGAGGAAGGGAGGGATCTGTGCTCTGTGCTGTGGGTGCTGGGTGCAGGTGAGCATGCTTGTCAGCTGGCCTTGGCTGGCATCTGTGTTGGTAATTGGTGTGGCCAGCAGGAGAGATAATGTAAATGTTCACATGGCCCTGGGCAGACAGGGGTCCATTCACTGCAGCTCCCCGCGCCTCTGGTCGTGGGGCTTGAACTCTGGGCCTGGGCGCTGTCCCTCAGCTCTTCAGCTCGAGGAGAGCGCTCTACCCCTTGAGCCACAGCACCACGTCCGGTTTTCTGGTGGTTCATTGGAGATAAGAGTCTCACAGACTTTCCTGCCTGGCCTGGCTTTGAACTGTGATCCTCAGATCCTGAGTAGCTAGGTTGACAGGCGTGAGCCTCCAGCACCCGGCTCGCACACACTTATCAGTAACTTCGGGGTGTTGCAGATTGCTGCCCACTGCTCCCGTGGGTGGGCTGCTGGCTAGCGCCACTGCTGCTCCCGTGGGAACACATCCCTCTCCTCTGTGCCTGCCTTGGGTTTCCCGAAGCAGGGGCGTAAGATCTTTTCTGCACTCAACACAAGGCAACCTGAGAGGAAAGGCACAGGGTGGGTGTGCTGCCGCGACCCAGTGTGAGCTGTGCGAGGCTCGGTGCCTCGAGGCCGCACACAAGTCACGTTTCTTTGTCTGACCATCACCTACGACGATTGCGTGATGTAACGATGGTGTGTAGGGCCCTTGCGTGCGGGGCTGCCCGGTCCCTGTGGGGCATGGCCTCATGCCTTGGGTGCCGCCTGAGTGCTCGGGAAGGTGCAGCCCTCTGTGCTTCTTTGCAGAGTGACAGCCCGAGCTTTAACGAGCATGAATACACTGAGTTTGGGAAGTGGATGGACGGGTGGGAGACCAGAAGGAAAAGGATTCCAGGTAAGAAGCCAATGGCTGGCGAGGCTGCTGGAATGCAAGGGTGGGTCTGGGGGCAGCTTCAGCTCGGGCTCTCCTGTGCTTGGTGATCTTGATAAATTTGGACTTTTTTTTTTTTTTTGTCTGTTGTGGGGCTTGAACTCTGGGCCTGGGCGCTGTCCCTCAGCTCTTCAGCTCAAGGCAAGCGTTGTACTACTTGAGCCACAGCACCCACTTGCAGTTTTCTGGTGGTTCATTGGAGATAAGAATCTAATGGGGACTTTCCTGCCTGGGCTGGCTTTGAACTGCAATCCTCAGATCTCAGCCTCCTGAGTCACTAGGATGACAGGAGTAAGCCACGGGCGCCCGGCTTAAATGTGACTTTTCTTCGTGCATAGCTGCACCGTATTTTCACACTATTCACCCACCACCATTATCTTTCTCTCTCCACACCCCTCTTCTCCCCCTGTAGTTATCAGTCCCCTACTAACAATCCAGCGTGTGTGTGTGTGTGTGTGCCTTCTCCCCCACCCTCCCCTCACAGAGCGCCCTGCCTCCCCCGCACGCAGGTCACGACTGGTGTGTCATCAAGCTCGGGATACAGGGCGTCATCCAGGGCTTTGACGTGGACATCTCTCACTTCTCGGGAAGCCACGCCCCCCGGATGTCGATTCAAGCAGCAAACGTGGAAGACAGTGAGTTAGGAGCCATCGGCCCGCGGTGAGGATGGAGGAGGGCGGGCTTCCCCGGTCCCTGCATGTCTTCCCTGCTCGCTGGCAGGGCTGCTGTGGTCTCACCACGAGGGCAAGCCAAGGTGGCACTCTGTGATTTTTGATTTCTAGCTTCCCAGCGTGGGCGCTCACCGCAGGCAGGGCTCTCTGGAGGCCCGGCGGTGGGGTTTCTCTGGGTGGGTCCACACCTGGCCCCGCTGTGTGGCACCTCCCTGTGGCGCTGTGTCGCAGCTGCAGCCCTCTCAGAGGCCTCGGCAGGGAGATGGCGCATGAGATGGTGGCGTTTTCAGAACAGGCTTTTTCTATGCCTGACAATTCTGGACTGTTGAGTTGTGCACGCTCCGTATTAGAGCTGGTGATTCAGAGCCAACTCTGTCTTTAACTGACGCCATCTGATGTGGGAGGAGAGTCTTGCTTCGTTTGTGTAGTTTTTATTTACTTTTCTGCTTGGGCGGGACTGGTCCCTTCCATTCTCTGCCACTTTCCCAGTAGCTGGGGTGACAAGCTTGTGTCACCAAGCTCAGCTTGCACTGTGTTTTAAAATTTCTGTTCTGTCTTTTGTATTTGTTTTTGTTTTATTGCCATTGTGTGGCCTAAACTCTGGGCCTGTGCGCTGTCCCTCAGCTCTTCAGTTCAAGGCTAGCGCCCTCAGTTCTGTATTTTGTATGGAGGAAGTTCAACCAGTCTGCCGATGGCTTTGCTCCGCTAGCTCAGTCAGTGTAGTGAGGACCTCTGCATGCTCCTGGGCAAAGGACAATTGCCACAAAACTCCCTGATGAGTTTGTTCTCTGCTCTTGAACTCTGATCTGTGTGCTGACTCTGATTTCAGGCAAACTGCCGGAAATCCCACCCCGAGGTGTCAGGACAGGGATGGCGGCCACAGTGGATGAGTGCGAGGCCATCGCCAAGGTGTGTTCTCCAGGACGCGGCTGACTGGTCAGCAGGGGCCCCGCCACGCGACCCGGGCGGGAGGTCTGCCCAGCTCTGGGCCATGTCCCCGAGCCTCGCACATGCTCCCTGTGTGGACAGTTTTCCCTGTGTGAGGGCCGGCCTGGGGCAGTGCCAGGGTGCCCCCGGTGTACTGAACATCTCACGAGGCATTTATCTTCCCAGCAATTTGGCACCATCTTGTTTTGTTGTTCAGGGGGTAATTAATTTGAACTGTGTTACAAAGTGTTGATCTGTGGTAGACGAGGGGAGATCACAATGCCACGGGGGCTTTGGAGGGGCACGATCCACAGACAGTGGTGGCCTGCTCCAGCTAGCGTCCAGACCTCTGGGCTCCCTCCGGGCTCAGAGACAGCCTGGGTTTTCCTACTTGCTCACACCTGTCCAGGAACCTGCATGGAAATCGTGAGGTTTCTGAGAGTGTACCCTTCATTTACAAGCCACCACACCCATGTGACATTTTAATCAGTGTGTGGGGAAAAAGGTCCAAACGGACCTATGCTGGTCCCCTCCCCTCTTTTTTTCCTTTTTTGTGCTGGTTCTGAGCACTGTCCCTGAGCTTTTTGTTCAACACTAGCATGCTACCACTTGAGCCCCAGCTCTGCTTCTGGGGTCTGATTGGAGATAGAGTCTCAGGGACTTTCCAGTCCAGGCTGGCTTTGAACCGTGGTCCTCAGCTCTCAGCTCCCGAGCAGCTGGGAGCACAGGTGTGAGCACCGGCTCGGCCCGGCCTCCCCCGAGGCCCTGCTACCCCTGCAGGGCCCGCAGGGTGGGGCCGCTTCCCAGAGACCCCTGACATGTGTGTCCTCCTTGCCAGCTGAAGTCGGAAGACTGGGTTTACCTGGTTCCTATGACAGAGCTCAAGCTGGGGAGCCCCGCCTCCAGCCACAACTATTTCCTGGTCAGTTCCCAGCACAGGTGGACCCTCGTGAGACTCAACATCTTCCCAGGTACGCCTCGCGCATGCGCAGTGGGAGCCCTTAGGCCCTCTATGCCTCGCGCATGCGCAGTGGGAGGCCTTAGGGCCAGCCCTGCCTCACCCATGCGCAGTGGGACTAGGCTCCTCGCGCACTGGCACTGAAAGCCTGCAGGCCCAGCCACGCCTCAGGCCCAGCTGCGCCTCGCACATGCGCAGTGGGAGCCCTTAGGCCTCCATGCCTCGCCCATGCGCAGTCGGAGTCCACGGGCACTGGCTGACCAGCGATCGCGAGTGCGTTAGGGTTGGTCGCTCGCCGCCGCCGGGCTAAGAGGACAGCGTCGGCCCTCCGGCCCACAGGTTGTGTAGTTCGTCCTCAGGGAGTGTCTCTGTCCGCCCTTTGCCCTCCGTTGCTGCGCGGGGCCTATTTTTACCTCTGATTTTAAGTTTTTATTGTGAAGCTGGGTGCGGCGGCCCCGCATCCTCCCAGCTGCTCGGGAGGACCGCGGTTCGAAGCCAGCCCGGGCAGGAACGTCCGTGAGACTCTGATCTCCAATGAGCTGCCAGGAAGCCGAAAGTGGCGGGCGTGGTGGCTGGGAGGGGGGGGTGAGCGCCGGCCTGGAGCTGAGGCGCGCAGGGACGGCGCCCAGGCCCGGCGCCCAGGCCCCCCCCCACCTCCAGATCACGGTAAAGGTGACGTCAGCCCCCCCACCTCCAGATCACGGTAAAGGTGACGTCAGGCCCCACCACCACCACCTCCAGATCACGGTAAAGGTGATGTCAGGCCCCACCACCACCTCCAGATCACGGTAAAGGTGACGTCAGCCCCCCCACCTCCAGATCACGGTAAAGGTGACGTCAGGCCCCCCCAACACCACCAAATCATGGTAAAGGTGACGTACACAGGGACACACGAGTCAGGTGAGGACTTTTTGAGCAGTTACCCCTTCCCTCACTTTCTCCCACCTCCCCACCCCTCCCCGCAGGCTGTGAAGGTCATTTCCAATATAGCCCAGGGAGTGTCACTGTTGAGTCGGTTCACTCCCCGCAGGCTGTGAAGGTCATTTCCAATATAGTCCAGGGAGTGTCACTGTTGAGTCGGTTCATCCTTTGTCTCACTGTTTCTGTGCTTCCCCTGCCCCAATCAGATACATTTATATAAAAGATACAGGGTACAGAAATAAAAACAGTGACAAAAAGGAATCAACCAAAAGAAAAAGAGAAAAAGGAATAACTACAAACAGTACAATAAAAGTTGGTTTTCGTGTTGATAAGCATCATTTCAAATGGTCATATGCACGTAGCTGTTGAACCATTGTGATCTCAGCTATTGAACCATTGTGATCTCTCCTAAGAACATCCTCCTTTGTTCTGACTCTGCGAATGCTTAGAGTGCTGTTTAATTATTCACACACAAGTATATTTGTCTTTGACTATCCATTGGATTGATTTGTCAATTTATAGACATAGGCTATTATTACAAATGAGGAAACCAAGCAGCTTATGTTTCTTTGGGCCTGGCTTACTTTGCTTAATATAATTTTTCCTAAGTTTTTCCATTTCCTTACAAATGGGGCAATGTCATTCCTTCTGATGGATGCATGGAATTCCTTTGTATATATGCCACATTTTCTTAATCCACTCATCCACTGAGGGGTCTCTGGGTTGATTCCATATCTTAGCTATGGTAAATAATGCTGCAACGAACATGGTTGTGCTGGTGGCTTTAGTGTGGGCTGGTTTGTGGGCATTTGGGTAAATGCCCAGGAGTGGGATTGCTGGGTCATAGAGAAGGCTCTATGATTAGTCTTTTGAGGAACTTCCATACTGCTTTCCAGAACAAGTTTACACTCCCACCAACAATGCAGTAAGGCTCTCTTTTGGCTACATTCTTGCCAGCATCTGTTATTAGTTTTCTTGATAATGACAACTCTAGGGAGTGAGGTGGAATCTCTAAGTGGTTTTGATTTGCATGTTTTTTATGTTCAGAGATGTTGACCATTTCTTCATATGTCAATTGGCCATTCTTATGTCTTCTTCTGAGAAGTGTTTCTTTAAAACTTTAGTCCACTTACTAATGGTGGTATTGTTTCTTTGAGGATTTGTTTTTTTGGGGTTTATTTGAGCTCTAAGTATATTTTAGATATGAGGCCCTTGTCTGATGCATAGCTAGTAAAGATCTTCTCCCATTCTGTGCGCTTTGTATTTATCTTGCTAGCTATTTGTTTTTGCCATGTAGAAATTTTAGTTTGATGTATTTATCAATTTATCCAGCCTTTCTTTGATTTGTTGTGTTTCTGGATCTTAGGAAGTTTCAACCTGTTCCAAGGAGCCCTAGTGTTTCCCCAGTCCTTTCCTGTAATATTGTCAGGGTATCTGGTCTTACATTGAGCTCTTTGATCCATTTGAAATTTATTCTGGTGCATGGTGATATATAAGGATCTAATTTCAGTTTTCTACACATGTGTAGCCAATTCTGTCAGCACCATTTGTTGGAGAGGCTGTTTTTCTTCCATCCTGTGTTTTTTTTTGCTCCCTTATCAAAGATTACATCTGTGATTAAGTTATAGGTCTATGGGTTCATTTCTGGGTTTTCAATTCTATTCCATTGTCATCAAGCCTACACTTGTGTAATAGTAAGCTGTGTTTATTACTACAGCTTTGTAATAGAGTTTAAAGTTTAGTATTATTGATATTCCTCCAGCACTACTCTTCCTGCTAAGGATTGTTTTTACTTTTTGAGGTCTTCTTTTGTTCCATGTGAATTTTTGGGTTGCTTCTTCTATATCATTGGAAAATGTTGTTGGGATTTTGATAGGTATCTCATTGAATTAGTAGATAGCTTTTGGGAAGTATTGTCATTTTCATGATGTTAGTCCTCCCAATCCAGGAACATGGCAGGTTTTTCTACTTCCCTAAATCTAGTTTAATTTCCTTTTTCAGGTTTTTAAAGTTTCCATCATAGAGATGCTTCACATCTTTGGTTAAGTCAATTCCTGGGTAATGTGTGTGTGTGTGTGTGTGTGTGTGTGTGTGTGTGTTTGAGGCTATTACAAAAGGAGTTGCTTTCCTGATTTTTAGCCTCGCTTTTCTCATTATTGGCATATAGAAAAGCCATTGATTTTTGTGGGTTAATTTTTTTTGTCTGTTGTGGGGCCTGAATTCTGGGCCTGGGCACTGTCCCTCAGCTCTTCAGCTCAAGGCTAGCTCTCTACCACTTGAGCCACAGCGCCACTTCTGGCTTTTTCTGCTTATGTGGTGCTGAGGAATTGAAACTAGGGCCTCATGAATGTGAGGCAAGCGCTCTACCACTGAGCCACCTTCCCAGCCCCATGGGAATTTATTTTATTTTATTATATATATATATATATGTTTTTTTTGTTGTGACAATACTGTATAGAGGGGTTACAGTTATAGGAATAAGGTCATGAGTACATTTCCTATCAAGCATTGTTACCTCCTTTGTTTTTCCCCTACCATCCCTTCCCTCCCCAACTCCCCAACTCCTCCCTCTCCCCCCCAAGGTTGTAAAGTTCATTTCAACATAGTGTCTTGTACATCTCATTGCTACAATGGGTCAGCCTGTATCCTTTTTTCAGCATTTTGTTATTTTCCATCCCCTCCGCAAATTAGAAAAATGTATATACAAGTTGCAGGGCACCAGAATCAAATATGGTGAAACAGGGGTTACACCATGGGGGAAGAACATACAAAAGAAACAAAAAAACCACATAGCATATTATAAATACGTTAAAAACAATAGCAAGCAAGAATAACACTTGTTATATTGGGGTTCATTTTGCTTAACATCATCTTATATGGTCATATGGACATACCTTTTGACCTTTTATACTTGTCCTAGACATAGACTAGTTATTGCAAATAAGGGAAATCATGGGATCTATGTTTCTTTGGGCCTGGCTTACTTTATATAATTTTTTCCAAGTCTTTCCATTTCCTAACAAATGGGGCAATGCCATTCTTTCTGATAGAGGCATAGAATTCCTCTGTGTGTGTATGTGTGTGTGTGTTAATTTTATACCCTGCTACTTTGCCAAAGTTTTGGATTAGCTCAAGCAATTTTGGCTCCTTAAATACAGGATCATGTCATCTGCAAAGAGGGAGAGTTTTATTTCTTTCCCTATTTGGATCTCTTTTATGCTTGTTTCTTTCCTTATTCTCTAGCTAGGAATTCCAATACTGATTGAAGAGGAGTGGGGAGAGTGGGCATCCTTGTCTTGTTCCTGATTTTAGAGGCAACGATTTTAACTTTTCACCATTAACTATAATGCTGGCTGTAGGTTTGTCATACATAGCTTTTATTATACTGAGGAATGTTCCAGAGCTTTTATCACAAAGGGGTGTTGGATCCAGTCAAACGCTTTTTCTGTGTCTACTGGGATGATCATGTGCTTGTCCTTGCTCCCATTTATGTGTTGATTTGTGTATATTGAATCAGCTTTGTATCCCTTAAATGAATCCCATTTGATCAGAGTGTATGATTTTTGTTTAGTTGTTGAATTCATTTGGCCAGAATTTTGTTGAAGAGTTTTGCATCAATGTTAATCAAAGAGATGGGTCTATAGTTCCCTTTCTTTGATAATCCCTATCTGGTTTTGGGATGAGGCTTATGCTGGCTCATAGATGAAGTTTGGTAGTGATCTTTTGCTTTTGATCTCAATGAGGTTTGAGGAGTATTGGAGTTCTCTTTTGAAGGCCTTAGAGAAATTGGTTGTGAATCCATCTAGTCCTGGATTTTTCTTGGATGGGAGGGCTTTTATTGCCATTTCTGTTTCATTACTTGTTATGGGTATATTTAGTTGGTTTAAATCTTCTTAGTTTAGTTTGAGTATATTAATATTTTCTAGTATTCTTCCATTTCTTCCAGATTTTCCAATTTGTTAGCCTAAAGCTTTGCAAAGTATTCCCTTATGATGTTTCTGAATATTGCTTTGTTTCTGTCATGATGTTCCTGTTCCTGTTCTCATCATCTTTTTTTGGTCAGATTTGCCTAAGGGTCTGTCAATTTTGTTATTTTCAACAGGCCAACTCTGTTTTGTTGATTTTTTCTATGGTTTTTTGGTCTTTATTTCATTTATTTCTGATTTAATTTTAGTTAATTGTTTCCATCTACTTGTTTGGGATTTGTCTTGTTCCCCTTTATCAAGGAGCTTAAGGTGTATCATTAAATTGTTAGCTTGAGATTTCACCAATTTGTTGATGTAGGCACTTCAGTGCTATACATTTTCTTCTGAGCACTGCCTTTGCAATGTCCCAGAGGAGCTGGTATTTTGTGTGTTTGTTTTTGTGAAATATCACAAACATTTGAATTTCCATTCTAATCTCTTCAGTGACCTACTGGTGATTTTACAATGTCTCCATGAGCAAGAGAATTTTCTATGGTGGCGTCTGGTGTTAAGTTCTAATTTTACTCTATTGTGGTCTGACAGGATGCAGGGAATAATTTCAATATTTCTGAATTTGCACAGATTTTTCTTTGTGTCCTAAAATGTGATTTGGAGAAGATTCCACGTGCTGGTGAGAAGAATGTATATTCTGATGCTGCTGGGTGAAATATTCTATAGAAATATGTCTGTTAGGTATAGTTGGTCAATGCAGTTGCTTAGTTCTGATGTTTCTCTGTTGAGTATTTTCCAGGTTGATCTATCCAGAGGTAACAGTGATATCTGTATTAAAGTCACTAGTGATCAAAGTGTTTGGATCTATGTGTGATTTTAGAATAAATAGTGTTTGATGAATTTGGGTGCTCTGGCATTTAGTGTAGAGATATTTAAGATTGTTATATCCTGTAGGAGAAATTCCTTTATTAGTATGTAATGTCCTTCATTGTCTTTTCTAATTTTAATTTGAAATAGATTTTATCTGGTATTAGTATTGCAACCCTGGCCTGTTTGTGGGGGCCATTTTGCTTGATAGATTTTATTCTAGCCTTTCCTTGCAGAATATGTTTTTGTGGGAAAGATGTGTCTCTTGCTTTTTGATCTAACTAGTCAATCTGTCATTTAACGGGAGAGTTAAGTCCATTAATATTGAGCGTTAGGACTGAGAAGTGTTTGGTAGTTCCTGCCATGTTATCTACCTTCTTAGGGGCTATGCCTCATCATTTCTTACTATAGTTATGTTTCTTTTGTGCGGGGCCACTTCCCTGCCAATATTGTGTTCTTTTCTTGTTGGTTTTCTACATATAGTATGTCTTTCAATATCCTCTGTTTCAGTTTCTCTTTGTTATGGAAGGTTTTATTTGTGCCTTGCTATGAAGGAGAGCTTAGTTGGGTTCAGTGTTCTTGGTTGGTAGTTGTTTGCCTTTAAGGCGTTGCTCACTCTTCAAGCAGCTTTGCTCCTCCTTTTCCTCCTCCCCCTCCTCCTCCTCCTCCTCCTCCTCTTCCTCTTCTCCTTCTCCTTCTTCTCTGTGAGTTGAACTCAGGGCTTTGTACTTGTTAGGCTAGTAGTCTGCTACTTGAGCCATGCCCTCAGTCTGTCTTTGCCCATTTTTAGGTGGGCATTTGTGTTTTACTATTGAGCTGTGTTTGTTCTTGCTCATGGCTGGAACTCTACCACTTGAGTCATACCTCCAGTCTAGTATAAGTTCTTTATATGTTCCAGATCTAAGGTCCTTATCAGACAGAGGATATAAGAGCATTTTCTCCCATTCTGTGCAGTGTCCTTTCACTGAGTGGGGTCTTTGGAACATGACAAATACTGATTTTGATGAAGTGTGACAAGCTTGTTCTTGCACTGCTCAACTCTTGGGAGTTATACCTGGGAAATCACAGTTGAATCTAAAGGAATCAGTAAGTTTCTTTGTGGTATCTTCTACATATTTTATAGATTAGCATCTTTCATCAAAGGCTATGACCTTGATTTTCAGATGTGATGAATGTTAGATTTTGTAGATGGTGTGAGGTGGGGATTTATTTCTAGACTGTTCTAATGTCCACTTTTCTAGTCTTGTGCCAGCACCACAATCTCAATTAGTGTCACTTTGCAGTAAGCTGTGAAATTGGAAAGAAAGTGTAGACCTTCCTGAGTTTTCGTTTTCCAATATTGTTTTGGCTGTTTGGGATCCTTTGTGATCCCACACTTTGGAATTGCCTTGTAAACTCTGTGAAGGTTTCCTGGTGGTCCAGCAGAGCGTGCTGCTCTGCAGAGCAGCTCAGGTGTGCTGCTCCTTGACATTGAGCCTCCCTGTCCACGGACGCAGGAGGTTCAGAGAGTGCTACACCTCTTTTGCTGAATTTGATCTTGCACTCTAAAACATTGCTACACTCATTTGTGAGTGCTAATGCTTACCGTGGAATATTTCAGGTTTTTTCAAGGTACACCACAGCCACCTCAGTGAAGGCCCCTTTCCTTTGCAGATGGTGGTGTAGCCCGTTTTAGAGTCTATGGTACTGGACAGAGGGACTGGATCGCCACAGACACCACCGATCCTGTGGACCTGGTGACCATCGCTTTTGGGGGTGTCTGTGTAGGATTTAGTAATGCACATTTTGGGCATCCAAACAATATGATAGGTAAGAGGGTACTCAGGGAATGGCTTTGGTATAGATGTGTGGGCACTGCCGACACGCAGTGCAGGTCCCAGCTTCAAATGCCTGGCTAGGTGAATCAGGCAGTGAGGAGGGACTTCCTGGAGCCTGGGCAGTGGGGACTGGCTTTCCATGTTGCCATGGCCCTGTTCCATGTTGGCCTGTAGTTGGTACCAAAGGAAAAGAGCTCTGGGCAATGTGATGGAAGGATGTTGTATGCGCAGGTGTGTGGGCCTGTCATGCAATGACACTGGGTGTGCATCCTCTCATTAAATTCATGGGCTGCTTCACTAACCTGTTATTTCCTGTAGGTGTCGGCAGGCCCAGATCCATGGCAGATGGCTGGGAAACGGCAAGAAGGCTGGACAGGCCCCCGGTGTTAGAAGTAAGGAGTGGAGACTGTGGTTTCCAATCTTTCTTTCATGTTACATCAAGGAAACCTCTCACTCCTTGTTTTACATTCTTCTATTCTCCCCATTTGCCAAAATACCTATTGTGTTCTCCTTGTCCTCTCTGGTACAGTGGCCCTCCGTATCATGGTATAATATAGTTTTCTGACTCTCTGCCAGCTTTGCCCTGCTTTCAGAGGCGAACAAAGGCATTCTCCTTCCTTGAACAGAGGGCTGGAGGCAGATCATGTATCAGAGGGCAGGGTGGCTGGAAAACGCCCACTGTGAAAGGCCAGGTGACTAGCGGACCTGCAGGCTGGTCCTGTAATGATTCATCTATCGCAGTCTTTAGGGACCCCATTGACATAGGAAATGATGTCAGAAACGTTTATAAGACTTATGGAGGCTGGCCACTGGTGGCTCACACCTGTAATCCTAGCTACTCAGGAGGCTGAGATCTGAGGACTGAGGTTTGAAGCCAGTCTAGGCAGGAAAGCCCGTGAGACTTACCTCTAATTCATCACCAGTAAAGCTGGAGGTCGAGTTTTGGTTCAAGTGGTAGAGTAGTAGACTTGAGCAGAAAAACTCAGAGGCAGTGCCCGGGCCTTAGGTTCAAGCCCCGGGGACAGCCCGAAACAAAACCAAACCTGCTGAGAACCCAGTGAAGTCACAAGGCACACAGTCTCAAAGGAACAACAGCAAAGCCACAAGCACACACACAGCACACACAAGAACTAAGGCGCTCTCTCCAGCAGCTGAGCTTCAGGACAGGGCTGCCCCGTTCAGGTACATTCACCTCTTCACACCCTTTGGATTCCAGAATGATGAGAAAGGCCTGCTTCTGGTTCCGGGTTGCGAGTGGGCAGTTTTCCGATTGGCACATCCTGGAGTCATAACTCAAATTGAAATCGATACGAAATACTTTAAAGGTAGGTGTTGAGCCATAGCAAGAGCCTGGGACTGTATGCACTGTAGAGGGGACGGGTCCCACGTCGCTTGGGGGAGTAACGGAGTAACCTGGACTTTACAAAATAACAGCCCTATAGGTCCTCCGAGATCCCAGCATGCAGTGCCGCTTTGATACAGGGGGACAGGGCCCAGGAGAAGAGCAGGGCAGAGGTCTCTTGCCCTTGTTAGGTGGCGTTTTCTGAGCCCCGAATGGGCACTCATGAGCGGTTCTCATCTGTACATATTTATGTTAGGTATATAATTGTATGACACACTGAGTTTGATTGCAATAGCTCCATGATACTCATGACATACTCGGATCCTATTAACCCCTTATCTTCTCTCAACCCTCTTTGGCCAAGTTCTCTTTGCTAATGGTAGCACTGAATTTTAAATCTCTTCCCATCACGGGAACTTTATCCACTATTATTAACTATTACTTCAAGGCATAAATACTTCCAAGGCCAGGTTTGTCATTAGTAATCGAGTATGTGAATGAGGAAGACTGCATGTCAATCCCATTTGTCCTTTTTCACTTTTCAACGTGGCTGACAGGGAGCTCATCCTGAAGGTGGGTGGCATCCTGGCTGTGCTATTTTCTTGTTTGTGAATGCTAACATTTTGAGGTGTATGTGTATGTGTGTCTTGAGGCTTGACTTCAGGATCTATGTGCTGTCCCCGAGCTTTTGTGCTCAAGGGTAGTACATTACCACTTGAGCCACAGCTCCACTTTTGGATTTTTTGGTGCTTAATTGGAGATGAGTCTCACAGACTTGGCTGCTTCAAACTGTGATCCTCAGTTCTCAGCCTTCTGAGATGAGTTCTCAGCTAGGATTACAGTTATCAGTCACTGGCACCTGGCTTTGAGTAGTATTTTTATTTTTGTTGGTCATGGGGCTTGAACTCTGGGCCTGGGCGCTGTCCCTCAGCTCTTCAGCTTAAGGCAAGCACTCTACCACTTGAGCCACAGCGCCACTTCTGGTTTTCTGGTGGTTATTTGAAGATGAGTCTCACTGACTTTCATGCCCAGGCTAGATTTGAACTGTGATCCCCAGATCTCAGCCTCCTGAGTAGCTAGGATGACAGGTGTGAGCCACTGGCATTTTAAATATACAGTGGTTTTAGGTCACTTGCTTATTTTGATAAGGAGTTGTTAAGCCAGGCACCCCAGGCTGGCAAGATGCCTCTGGAGCAATGTCACGGCAGTGAGGGACTGTGCCCGCATCTGCCAGTGTTCTCTAGGACATTCCATTCAGGTACACACACACACACACACACACACACACACACACACACACAGCAGCTCAGGTCCTCTTCCGTGTCCTTGGGTGTGGGTAGTGTGCACACGGCACTCCCTTACCAGAAAGGACACTGTCCTTTCCAAGGGCAGGTGGGCAGCAATGCTGGTCCTGCTGTGGGCCTGAGTCTTCCAGAATACCACGGATGTTCCCCTCACAGAGTGAGGGACCTTGGTTGGATCTCATGAGCACATGAGCTGTGGAATTCCCCAAAGACTGCAGCCCTGGAGTGTGGTGTCTGGTGCTCGGTGCCTGTTGGCACAGCTCAGGGTTTCTTCGGATTGATTTACAAAATTTGACGTCATGGTAGAGTGCTAGCCTTGAACACAAGGAGGCTCCAGGACAGCAGCCTGGCCCAGATTTCAAGCCCCAGGACAGCAGCATATGACATCGTAAGGAAAATATTCAAAATATCAGAAATTGAGGCACCACTTAAGTGTGCAAATGGTTCATTTTGTAGTGTTCAAAGCTTATCAAATCAAGCTTTGAGGTAAGAATGCTGTTCATTGAAAACTCAGACGCTAGCTTACTGACATTTAGCAGGCGACTGCTCATCTGCAGAGCACACACTCTTCAGCTTTATGAGGCAATCTGGCATTCTTTCCTTCTACAGCACTTAGCCTCGAAAGAACATCGTTGTTGCTGTTAACCTGACTTGAACTCAGGGCCTTATGCTTACTCAGCTTTCTGGCTCACAGCTGGTGCTCTACCACTTGAGCCATGCCTTCAGCTCAGCTCTTAGCTGGCTAATTAGACATGGAATTTCAAGAACTTTTCAGATCCTCCAGATCTCAGCCTCCCAAGTAGCTAAAAATACAGGCAGGAACCACTGGCATCCTGTTAGTTTGCTTGGCTTTTGATCTGGTTAAAAGTCTGGTGTTCCACAGGCTGTCGGGGCTATAGGGCGCCACGGTCTCTCTTTTCCGACAGGCAATGCTCCTGACAGCTGCAAAGTGGATGGGTGTATCCTGACGATGCAGGAGGAGGAGGACATGGTGAAGAACAAGTGGGGTCTCCAGACCCACAAGTGGAAGGTGCTGCTTCCGATGACCAAGGTTTGTCGGGTGCAGCATAGGCGCGCTACATCGCTGCTCAAGTGGAGCGAGCTCGAAAGAGCTCATGCACAAGAAGAAAGCACCTTTTCCCTCGCCTGTGCACTTCTTTTTTTTTTTTTTGCCAGTTGTGGGGCCTGAACTCTGGGCCTGGGCGCTGTCCCTGAGCTGCTTTTGCTGCTCAAGGCTAGCGCTCTACCACTTGAGCACAGCACCACTTCTGGCATTTTGTGCTTATGTGGTGCTGAGGAATCGAACCCAGGGCCTCATGCATGCGAGGCAAGCGCTCTACCACTGAGCCATCTTCCCAGCCCTCGCCTGTGCACTTCTAACGTTCACACTTAGTTAAAAATGAAAGATGGAAGCTGGGCACGGTGGCTCACGCCTGTCATCCTAGCTACTCAGGAGGCTGAGATCTGAGGATCGTGGTTCAAAGCCAGCCCTGGGCGGGAGCTATGGCTCAAGCGGTCGAGTGCCAGCCTTGAGTGCAAAAGCTAAAGGACCAGCACCCAAACCATACGCACCACGAAAGGAGGAAAAGGCTTATGCGCCATGCGTACCCCCGTGGGAGGGCGTTTACCTCGTGGTCCGGTGGGGCGGGGCCCGGCCCCGGGCGTGGGTGGTGCTACCTGGCGCGCTCGATTCTGGAAGGCCCACGGCCGTCAGGTGTGACTTTCCGGTGCCGTCTCTCAGCTGTCCCCCAACCAGAGCCACCTGCTGGACAGCCTGACCCCGGAGCTCCAGGACGTCATCACGCACGCCAGGATCACCATCTTCCCGGACGGAGGCGTGGGCCGCCTGCGGCTCCGCGGCTTCCCCAGCTCCATCTGCCTGCTGCGGCCCCGGGAGAAGCCCGCCATGCGCTTCTCCGTGCGGCCCAGCTTCCGGGCCAACCTCTGACCGCCGCCGGGCGGCTGCGGGGAATAAAGCGACTTCCACACGCGCGCCTCCGTGTCCTGTCCGCGCCGTCCTCCGCGTGGCGGCCGCGGGCCGCAGCACAGAGGAGCGGCTCGCGGACCGAGCTGCCCGCCCGGTGCGACCCGCGGTCT